AAATGATGTATAATAATTGTTGGGTTGGATTGGAAAAATATTGAGAAAAAAAATGTTGAAACAAAACTTACATTTTCGTATAACCTAAAAGTGTCAAAAAAGATGCTAATTTAAAAATTCCTGGAAGCCGTATTTATTGAAATTAAGGAATGAAACTTATTTTAAATTAAAGCTCAAAGCTTTCTCTTTAAAATGATGTATAATAATTGTTGGGTTGGATTGGAAAAATATTGAGAAAAAAAATGTTGAAACAAAACTTACATTTTCGTATAACCTAAAAGTGTCAAAAAAGATGCTAATTTAAAAATTCCTGGAAGCCGTATTTATTGAAATTAAGGAATGAAACTTATTTTAAATTAAAGCTCAAAGCTTTCTCTTTAAAATGATGTATAATAATTGTTGGGTTGGATTGGAAAAATATTGAGAAAAAAAATGTTGAAATAAAACTTACATTTTCGTATAACCTAAAAGTGTCAAAAAAGATGCTAATTTAAAAATTCCTGGAAGCCGTATTTATTGAAATTAAGAAATGAAACTTATTTTAAATTAAAGCTCAAAGGTTGCTCTTTAAAATGATGTATAATAATTATTGGGTTGGATTGGAAAAATATTGAGAAAAAAAATGTTGAAATAAAACTTACATTTAAAAGAGTCAAAAAAGATGCTAATTTAAAAATTCCTGGAAGCCGTGTTTATTGAAATTGGAATGAGACTTATTTTAAATTAAAGCTCAATGCTTTCTTTTTAAAATGATCTGGATCTGGATCTTCTAACCTCACATGTGGATGAATAAGTTAAAATATACCTAAAAACCCTACAATAGTGAGGATTGCGTCGTTTTTCTTTCTTGTATAGTAGAAAGTACCAACAGCTCTAAATGCGCCGAATAGATGACTACAGTTGAGTATTTGAAATTACCGGTACTTTAAAGTACTGTCGGGACACAAAGGGTTAAGCATGATCACGTACGAAAACTCGATTTATTACCAAGGAAACTAAGCCTGAATATATCGCGGGTAAATATTTGTTAAAATAACGGGCCTAAAGCTAAACTAAATATCGTCGGGGATAATACCGTGAACGTAGTTATTACAAAGCGGTTGAAATTTGTTTAACGCCAAAACGAATTGCTTTTGGCAATGAAAGGAATGTTATTTTATACGTTTTAGGCACATGACGTATGAAGTGTAATGTACAACGCGTTACCAGTTGTTGTAGTGTTAATTATTAAAAACATCGTTAACGAGTTTGTGTCGACTTCGGCTATACAATGTTTGTGGTGTACATTGTGAGTATTGCGGCCTGTATCGGTGACTCGACTGCTTTCACTTGTGCAAACAACAACAACAGACTACCGCTAATTAACATTTGACATCGGACTAAGCATAAACCTTTCAACCGGTGTTACGTCGAAAACAATATCTACAATATTGTTTTTAATTTGTTTTGAGATCAAAAAATAATTTCGATTTCAACTTTCAAATAAAGTAAAATTTACTGCCGCCGGATGAATAGTATAGTAATAAAAGTTTGAATTGGATGTGGACTTGTTTATTTAAAACTTGCGGACCAGTTGAAGCCCGACTAAATGAGACGCAGTTATTTCGCGTCAGTTCAAACTTATTGGATGATCAAATATTGTCCATTCGAAACTGGTACTGCACACTTTTTTATTTTAATCGAATACACACCACACCAACCATACATAGGTGCAGGTAAATGGGTACTGCGTCGACGTGTTTACATTGGGGGAAACTTCGATATTGAATTAACATCAGCGGAAATGTTACGGTCCCAACCGTCAACAAACGACTATTAAAACACGACCGACCCTGACGAGCTTTTGCTATCGGTAATGGATGCAATGGAACCGAATATTGTAGTGTAAATGTTTCCATCGAGGCCACGTGAATTACGTAATGTCATTGAATATTAAACCTAGGGATATAGGTAGAATATTATTCCGTGTTCTACTCCTCTCTAGAGATATTTTCAAATCAATAATGTTTACGGCTTAATTAAATTTAAAGGTTGTATTGTAATAAATGTAATAATAGAGATCATTAACCTCTTAAGCGCTTTTTACGTCGAGCGTATGTGGTGTGCGATTCGTTTTGCCGCATGCGAACATATTCGTCAGACCTAACATCTTTATTTTTAAAATCGTCATGCCCACCGCGTAAAAAAATTAATTACAGTTGCTGCTTATTAGGTTTATTTCATTATTAAAACAACATAGACCTAACACTGGACTTAGAACTAGAAACTTTCGAGTTAAGTAGTGCGTCTTTTGAAGAAATGTTTGACGTTTCGGATGCCATGTTGCACCAGTATCGTCATTCCTTTCTAATTTTGTTTTCATAACAAAGGACGCATCGTTTTGTCGGCTTTTGTTTTATTGTAGGTGGAATGAAATCTGGGAAATGTCGCTCTATTAGCCAAGAAGGCCCTTGTGTCCTTGATCGGTCTTCTGAAAGATTAGCATATTTTTCGACAAGCATTTCACCCAGGTCCATCAAAGAATGTAGCCGTTATTTTTTATCACCAAGTGTTCGATGAATTTAGTAACAATTTATGTCCAAAAAGTGGCGAATATAATACGCGAAGGGAATGTCCTTGAACTGTTTGAATGAACAATTTTAGTGCACACAAATTCGGACAGCTATCCCGACCGTTGCATTAAGTGGATTACTAATTACTAGCGGATTAGTCGGATGAAGTCGTATTTGTTTCTTAATAAGGATCAATTCAAAATTTTTTTTTTAGTTATAAAGCTGTTCTTTTTTAACATTAATGGATAGAAAATAAAAAATCCTTTAAAATGAACCCAAACTCGACTTGTTTATCTCCAACCGTTATCGAGATATTTTAATCTTTACCAAAAAAAAAAATGGCGATTATTTGACATTTGACAGTTTTTAACCGAACTTTTTTATTTTTTCACCCAACTACATCGTGTTTGGTATCAAATTAAAGCATTTTTTATTCTTATTAAGATCATTTCAATATATCAAAAAATCGTTATATTTAATTTTGACATTTGACAGTTTCTAACCTAACCCAACTACATCGTGTTTGGTATCAAATTAAAGCATTTTTTATTCTTATTAAGATCATTTCAATAGTTATCAAAAAATCGTTATATTTAATTTTAACATTTGACAGTTTCTAACCTAACTTTTTTATTTTTTAACTAAAATACATCGTATTTGGTATCAAATTAAAGCATTTTTGATTGTTATTATGACCATTTCAATATTTATCAAAAAATCTTACATATGACAGTTCCTAACCTATTTTTTTTTATTTTTTAACCCAAGTATATTGTGTTTGGCATCAAATTAAAGCATTCATGATTCTTATTAGGATCATTTCAATATTTATCAAAAAAAGTTACATTTAATTTTGACATTTGACAGTTCCTAACCTATTTTTTTTTATTTTTTAACCCAAATACATCGCGTTTGGTTCTTTTTTTTTAACATTAATGGATAGAAAATAAAAAATCCTGTAAAATGAACCCAAACTCGACTTATTTATCTCCAACCGTTATCAAGATATTTTAATCTTTACCAAAAAAAAATGACGATTATTTGACATTTGACAGTTTTTAACCGTACTTTTTTATTTTTTCACCCAACTACATCGTGTTTGGTATCAAATTAAAGCATTTTTTATTCTTATTAAGATCATTTCAATAGTTATCAAAAAATCGTTATATTTAATTTTGACATTTGACAGTTTCTAACCTAACTTTTTTATTTTTTAACCAAAATACATCGTATTTGGTATCAAATTAAAGCATTTTTGATTCTTATTACGATCATTTCAATATTTATCAAAAAATCTTACATTTGACAGTTCCTAACCTATTTTTTTTATTTTTTAACCCAAATATATTGTGTTTGGCATCAAATTAAAGCATTCATGATTCTTATTAGGATCATTTCAATATTTATCAAAAAAAGTTACATTTAATTTTGACATTTGACAGTTCCTAACCTATTTTTTTTATTTTTTAATCCAAATATATCGTGTTTGGCATCAAATTAAAGCATTCTTGATTCTTATTAGGATCATTTCAATATTTATCAAAAAAAATTACATTTAATTTTGACATTTGACAGTTTCTAACCTAACTTTTTTATTTTTTAACCCAAATACATCCTGTTTGGTATGAAATTAAAGCATTTTTGATTCGTATTAAAATCATTGCAATATTTATCAAAAAAATCGTTATATTTTATTTTGAGATTTGACAGTTTTTAACCTAACTTTTTATTTTTTAACCCAAATATACCATGTTTGGTATTAAATTAAAGCATTTTTGACGCTTATTAAGGTCATTTCAATATTTATCAAAAAAACTTACATTTGATTTTGACATTTGACAGTTTCTAACCTAACTTTCTTATTTTTTAACCCAAATACATCGCGTTTGGTATCAAATGAAAGCATTTTTGATTCTTATTACGATCATTTCAATATTTATCTAAAATACTTACATTTAATTTTGACATTTGACAGTTTTTAACTTAACTTTTTTATGTTTTAACCTAAATATATCATGTTTGGTATTAAATTAAAGCATTTTTGACGCTTATTAAGGTCATTTCAATATTTATCAAAAAGTCGTTATTTTCAATTTTGACATTTGACAGTTTCTAACCTAACTTTTTTATTTTTTAAACCAAATACATCGTGTTTGGTATCAAATTCAAGTATTTTTGATTCTTATTAAGATGATTTCAATATTTATTAAAAATCGTTGTATTTAATTTTGACATTTGACAGTTTTCAACCCAACTTTTTTATTTTTTAACCCAAATACATCGTGTTAATAAATATAATATAAATATACGTGGCGAAAATCGTCTTGTCGATTGAATATCACTTTAATTTCTAAGATGCGAATATATCCGGCATACCCACTTCGCAGCGACTTTCGTGATGACGATTATATGCGACATAAGCGCTTAAGAGGTTAGTGAATAATCTCGTATTTAGAGTCGTTTAATAAGTATTCATAAAAATATATAATATATAACTTATAATCTTATTTGATCGATGTGTTTGTTTGAAAGTACGTTATGCATTTCGAATAACCACCGGGTCATATTTACTTCGTAAAGAATGTTTGCGGTCAGATATTGGACGATAAAGCCAAAGAATCTACAAGATACAATAGAGATCGGTTGAATATGGTCTCGGAATAATGCAGTACCCAGATCATAAAGATGCTGATCCAAACATAAAGCGCGCCCTCTAAAATATTACGTTCATAAAACGCATAACCGACGAAAATACATGCCACCGCCGTAGGAATCCCCCAATCGCTCCACGTTCATACATAAATTCTATACCGTCACGGTGGCAATTTAAAATACATCTGGTGCAGTTATAAATTACACGAAATTGTCTCCGGGTATACATCCCCCCTTTTCAAAAGTTCGTTCTTATGAGTTACTCCTAAAATCAAACGATCACATAAAAAACATAATTTAGACATTTTATTGAAAAAATTTTATTATTAATACAAATTAGGCCGTAAAACTTTTTTCCAGGTATTATCAGAATAAACTCTGTTTCCATTTTCGTTTTCCATATTCCCAGAAAATTTTGACCTCCTAAATCGAATGTATTGTAAAGATTGATCATTTACGTCCATAAGAAGTTTTCTTTCAATTGCGTTATCTGGAAGTGGAGGAAGCGGAATGAATTGGCCAGAAGAAGACTTTTTTGGTAATTTTATTGGTTTTACATCGCCGATGTAAGGATTATTAAAAGCCAGTTCATCATCACCAAACACAGCGGTAACAAACAAAACAAAACAAATCGTTATAACTATCTATAAAAAATGCGTTATTAATTATTTATAATAAGTACAAGAAATTACCTTAAAACCCGATTTATACATTGTAATCGTATGAAAAGTATCTTATAAACTGGCTGTAATCAAATCGAATGTTTACTTTCTTGCTTAACCTCTCCATCAAAAAATAAACACGCGTTGTCGAACCTTGAGATAAAGATGAGTTTGTTAACGATAAAGACAAAATTTATCTAAGAGTATTTATTTGTTTGAAAATAAAATAGTATTTATGAAAAATGATAATAATTTAGTTGTAAATCTCGACTTACGTTCAAAATCTAGTAAGTTGTAGCTCCTCTTATCTCCACATTTTGGGACCGAAAACTCCTATAAATATGGTTCTTTAACTTACTCTTAGCACTAAAGCTTGTAAAACTTTATAACTGGGTCATACTCAAGTTATAACGACATCTAAAATCTGAGCTACAAAGGTTAATTAATACAGATGACGTACAAACTCTTCCGGTTATTTTAGTCGAAAATATAGGTGTTCCGAAATTTCTTTGACATATAGCTAGATATAACAAGTGTGTATGCAGTGAATTTCACTTAAGATGTAATATATAAAAATATATTTTCATAGAAACTTATTTACTTTGTTCCACATAAAATACAACATGTCAATATAATTTGACATTACAGTAAAACCTCGATATAATAGATAGCTGACGTCTCTTAAGACGGTTAAACCTGAATGTTTCTAGTTCTAGATCTAGTGTTAGTTCTAGTTTTACACTGGCACTATCGCTAGAACTAACACAAGACCTAGAACTAGAATCATTCGGGTTTAGCCGTCTTGAGAGACGTGCGGCTAAATCCGAATGTTTCTAGTTCTAAGTCTAGTGTTACTTCTAGTGACAGTCGTAGATAGCTAGTCAGCATAAGGTATTACTATGTTGCATATTTTTATTGCACTAATACTAGAACTAACACTAGACCTAGAACTAGAAACATTCGGGTTTAGCCGTGCGTCTCTCAAGACGGCTAAACCCGAATGATTCTAGTTCTAGGTCTTGTGTTAGTTCTAGTGATAGTGCTAGTGTAAAACTAGAACTAACACTAGACCTAAAACTAGAAACATTCGGGTTTAGCCGCACGTCTCTCAAGACGGCTAAACCGGAATGATTCTAGTTCTAGGTCTTGTATTAGTTCTAGTGATTGTGTAAAATTAGAACTAACACTAGACCTAGAACTAGAAACATTCGGGTTTAGCCGCACGTCTCTCAAGACGGCTAAACCCGATTGATTCTAGTGGTAGGTCTTGTGTTAGTTCTAGTGCTAGAGTAAAACTAGAACTAACACTAGACCTAGAAACATTCGGATCTAGCCGCACGTCTCTCAAGACGGCTAAACCCGAATGATTCTAGTTCTAGGTCTTGTGTTAGTTTTAGTGATAGTGCTAGGGTAAAACTAGAACTAACACTAGACCTAGAACTAGAAACATTCCGATTTAGCCGCACATCTCTCGAGACGGTTAAACCCGAATGATTCTAGTTCTAGGTCTTGTGTTAGTTCTAGTGATAGTGTAAAATTAGAACTAACACTAGACCTAGAACTAGAAACATTCGGATTTAGCCGCACGTCTCTCAAGACGGCTAAACCCGAATGATTCTAATTCTAGGTCTTGTGTTAGTTCTAGTGATAGTGTAAAATTAGAACTAACACTAGACCTAGAACTAGAAACATTCCGATTTAGCCGCACGTCTCTCAAGACGGCTAAACCCGAATGATTCTAATTCTAGGTCTTGTGTTAGTTCTAGTGATAGTGTAAAATTAGAACTAACACTAGACCTAGAACTAGAAACATTCGGGTTTAGCCGCACGTCTCTCAAGACGGCTAAACCCGATTGATTCTAGTTGTAGGTCTTGTGTTAGTTCTAGTGCTAGTGTAAAACTAGAACGCACACTAGACCTAGAACTAGAATCATTCGGGTTCTAAGTCTAGTGTTAGTTCTAGTGACATTCGGGTTTAGCAACACGTCTCTCAAAACGGCTAAACCCGAATGATTCTAGTGCTTGGTCTTGTGTTAGTTCTAGTGACAGTGCAACTGTAAAACTAGAACTAGCACTATACCTAGAACTAGAATCATTCGGGTTTAGCTGTTTTGAGAGACGTGAGGCTAAATCTGAATGTTTCTAGTTCTCGGTCTAGTGTTAGTTCTAGTTGTGCACTATCACATTATCTTTTTCCAAGCAACACTTTTCATTTACAAAACTACCCAATGCCTGTACTATTAAGCTATGTTGCATTTTATGTGAGACAGTGCAAGTGCATAGTAGTTTCGTAATTATGGTTACTGCATTAATATATTGCGAGTTAAGCTCAGTTTCCACATGCACAGATAACTGTTGCCGGTACGAAGCCAGTTTAGTGGCGCCAATTAGCAATAAAAATGGCGTCATGTGATGTACTTCGCGCTGGCATCAATGTGGTAGTCCAAATGTGCTCCTTGGAACTGCACATGTATTAGCAAAAAAAAGTTAGGATTAGATTGTGGATTGCACGTAGAAATAACCTAAGTTTAATCATTTAAGAATGACTAAAGAGAGTTTCATGTTTTTGTTATCCTCTAAAATACAAAAAGAACATACTTATATGAGAGATGCCCTTCCAGCTCACGTAAAACTGCAAGCAACTTTAAGCAACTTAAGATTTTTGGCCTCTGAAGATTTTTTTACATCTTTGCAGTATATGTATCGTTTGCCAAAATTAGGAACTGTTTTTTTCATAATTTCAACTATCCTTCTGACAGCTTCATTTCGTGCTAGTCGGTCCTTATATTGTGGAATTTTCTGATTCCACGTTGCATGATTTCAGGTTTGTTTGGGTTCAATGATTGGAAATTAATCTCTGATTATGAATAGGATAATTCTGACGTGGACGAAGATGACATACAGAATCAGGATATGGATAATGTCGAGAAACAGCAAAGTTTGCAGAACCACATAGAGATGTGAGAGTTAGACAATAAAATTATGATGGAGCCATCTCCTTCATATACTTTGAAGTATAATTTTGAACCATACTGTATACTTACAATAAATTATTGATTTTTTTGTGATACAAATCGAATTTGAAAATTTATGTATCAAAACAAATAGTTAAATAAAAAAACAAACATAAAGCCGTTTTATCTCCCTACTAAAAAGACCCTCTGACTTTTTTTCTTCAACACTCATTTCAACGAAGTGTACCTTTTTCCGTTCGAAAATAAAGAGAAAGCTTTTTCTGGTAGAGAAAAAAGCACCGCTTTGACTCTCGCAAAGAAACACTCAGCGGGAAATTTACGATTTGCACAAAATTATCGGTGTGGATGGAGTGGCTCTCGTCCCTCAGTACAAAACTGTGATATTTTTCGTTGAAACGGTTTATTTGGAAAGTGACCGAAAAAGGTACTAATAAAATCGAGCGGATTATATCTAAATGGGATTGAATTCTGTTCCAAATGGCACCGACAGCGTTTACCAACTATATTTTTACCTTTTTCGTTCAATTTTACGTTCGAACATTATATACTATGTACACCTATAAAAATAAATTATGAAACTGTGGTTTTTTAAAGTTGAGAACTGAATTAGGTATATTATTCAGCGAGAAGATTAAAAATTAAAATGATATAATTGTATGCTTCTGAATTTCTTAAATTATAAATTACTTTGTTAATTTTAATTGGATTCACACATAATTTTTTCTTTTGACAACTTTAACTAAACCAAATTTTCTATTAAATCGTTCTCATCAAGTTTTTTTTTTAATTTCGTAGATTACCCTAAATTTTCTAGTTATTTAATTATTTTTTCATCAATTCCTTCTATACAATATTCTATGGGGTTGGTATTTTGGATGGCGGTAGACCTAATTAGGGAAAACCTAAATAAATATTGTGTTATATATTCTATTGTTATCCCGCCTGGTTCATGTATATTGCATTATTACATTATCTAATTAACCTATGTATCAGAAACTATATATTAGAAAATAATTTTTTCGGTGTCGGAGTATTCGAAGTGAACGAACGTGTTTCGTGAACGAGTTTCCCGTATAAGACGAAAGTGAGTTATTTGTTAAAATAAAACTCCACGTGAGTAACTTATCTCAAACACAAAACGACGGGCCTTCTACAAAAGTAATAATTGGTAGTTAGATCGAATTGTCACCCTTCGGGGTGGTTTTATTAATAGACAATGTCTTATACAAAACCGAGCATAGTTATAGTAAAATTATGAGAGAATCTGCTTTAATGGTTTTCAAATTTTAACTAATAAATGGAAATTATAACCTTTCGCAAACTATTTTCTAAGCTAAAATTAAGGGATCAAGCTCAAGGTAAACTTAAGTTGCTGACTTATAATCTAAACTGCATTCTTAAAATGGTTACAGACTTTAACGTGGGTGTGATTTATAATTCAGGTATTTTCTCTTAATGTAATAAAATAAAATTCGTTTTAATAAGAAATAAAATATTATGGAATATTAAAACTCCAAGGAACATAATTAAACGCCAAGGATGCAATAAAGAATTTTATGATTATAAAATTTTATTGGGTATAACTTTAATTTTAAACTTGACTTATAGTTTTATTAGAATCAATAATGCAAGAATAAAATATTTTAGTATAGTTGAGAGTGAACCTGTTAAATTTAAAGTTCATAGACCTGATATGTAAATTTAACAGTACATAAACAAGCGCTACAAAACTTTCTCGTTAAAAGTAAATCCCCTCTTTATAAATTGATTTCTTAGAAAACTATAAACGTAAAACTAAAATTTATTGTTTGCTCGGTTATAACTCGAAAAATACAACAAAGAAACTTGAAATACGAACAATACCGACTCTTTATTATTATGAAAAAATCAATTTCCAATTACACACATAAAATGGGTTTTACTAACGTAAAATTAATGCTGACCAAAATGTTTTGTTAGCAAAATATTTTGGTTAAACACCAAACACCGACATAGCAATTTCAAAATAATTGGAGTCGCGGTATTGCCCGGAAATACTTTATGTATTTTGTGACCTGTGATTAAACGGAACAATGAACGAAAATCCCGCATTTGTTGTAGAGTGTTAAACAAATCCGACACTCTACAATAAATCGTACTCTACACGGTCATGTAATTTACATATTCGCATTAACAAGTCCTTACAAAAACAATAACTTCAAAGAAATTTAAGTATTTAATTTAAATGCAACAAACAATTTATTCATTTACTACAAAAAACAATAAAGAAAGAACACTGTTTCAACAAGTAATTAATGTTAAACAACTTGCGATTAAAGCTGTCCTAGATTGCATGCGACTGACGTTTAATTAATTTGTGAGATTATTAAATTATTTTTATCGCTTAATGAACTCATCTTGAACTTTCTCGACTTAAATCAAACAAAAATAATTTAGTAGCTCATATTTCGAAATTTGTACTTCCCCATACAACATAGATATAAATCGCGAAACCAATCAATCGCACCCATCAGTTCTCACTTAGCCTTCAAGAACTTAAGAACAACATCAAACAAAAACAGTAAAGGTAATAAACTAATAATTTATATCAAAAAATAAATAATTTTAATTTTATATATCTAGATGTTAAAAATTTCTCTCTTCCTTTGCTTCATTGCTGTTACATTTGCATTCGTCGATAGAAATGTGCAAGATTTTGAACGAAGACGATTAATGCAAGAAAGGGATCAACGTGAAGCTGAAGCTGCAAGACAACGCGAATCATCTCAATCTCAATTTAGCCATCGTTTCTACAGATCAATAAATCAAGATGTTGATTTAAATGAGGAATTACAAGACGTATCAATTATTAGACTAAGAAGATCTCAATTTCATATTGGAAATGTTAAAATAATTAAAGAAAATGTAAATTAAAAATTGTTATTTAATGATTAAATAAATATTGTAGTTTAACTTGTAGTTCATTAATTTTGGTCTACTAGGTTAAGTACAGTTTCCCATCAACACACATTAAACGATGCCGCACGCAGATTAAAATTAGTCCTTGCTAATTTACTGGGATTAAATTTAATCCCATTGCAAGCTAAACACGACTCACATCGTCATAAACCTTTGAAATTACAAAATATTAAATAAAATATTGGCAAAACCGTTTTGTTTTACCTGTACCATTGTGTTTTTTCGATAAATCGAATATTTCCTTTCACATTACAACAATTGTAATGAGATTTTATTTTCAATGCATGCTGTGAATAGCAGAAATGTCATCGATTAATTACTAACCCGCTTTTCTATTTTTCGCAATGTGTATTGTTTATATTCCAGTTTGATAGACAGATTTTTCGTGGAATTGCATAAAACTACCACGGAATTAAAACACTTTATTTAAACATTACAATACCAAATTTTTTGTGTTTCATTATATAATTTAAACATGCTTTGTAGATTAAAATGTGTTGTAATTATAAAGTTATCTGTATTGATTCTTTGCACGCCTTTTATCCTGTGTTTTAATTCATTCGTTTCATTTCTTTAATATTTTTGCACCTGTTTATGATAACATTAATTCTGTATAGGTGAGAGTAGCATATTTAGGGCCGGATGTACAATATATCAATAAACTTCCCAACAGCGACGGTTAAACCCGAATGTTTCTAGTTCTAGGTTTAGTATCAATTCTACTTTTTGTTCAATAAAAATATACCATAATCAAACGCTGAATAGCAATTAAAACTAGAATTAACACTAGACCTAGAACTAGAAACATTCGGATTTAGCCGCACGTCTCTCATGACGGTTAAACCCGAATGATTCCAGTTCTTGTGTTAGTTGTAGTGATAGTGCTAGTGTAAAACTAGAACTAACACTAGACCTAGAACTAGAAACATTCGGGTTTAGCCGCACGTTTCTCAAGACGGCTAAACCCGAATGATTCTAGTTCTAGGTCTTATGTTAGTTTTAGTGATAGTGCTAGTGTAAAACTAGAACTAACACTAGACCTAGAACTAGAAACATTAATAATAATAATAATAATAAACAATATTTATTGGTTCACATAATAACAGTAAATACACTGGATATATACAAATTAATTCGAAACAATGAACCAAAGAGAATTGAGTCAGTTTGGCTAACACCAATCAATGGTGTAAGCCTACTGTTTTTCATCAATCCTCAAATTAAATTACATACTACTAAAACTAAACGAACAATACGATGTACGTCGCAGAATCAAAAGAAAAGGTAAAAGAGAGAAAAAAGAACAAAACCAAAATGAAATGAGTTGAGAAAAAAATAAAATATAATATAATGTATAACTAAAATAAAAGTAAAACAAATTCCTTACATATAATATAAATTATAGTATAATAATTATAATATAAATTTGTAGAAAGAAAACAAATAGAAAAAGAAAAGAAAGGGCAGCGAAGGAAGACAGAGAGAATAGAAGGGAATAGAGAATAAGAAAAAAGAAAAGAAAAAAGAAAGAAAGAGGGAAAGGAACCGGCGCTATTCCGTCTACCCAAAACCATTTTGTTGGTTAAGCAAAAGATCCTTTACCTCTATCTTGAATCTTTTACAAGATAAACGTTTTAAAGAATCCGGCAGAGGGTTGTACATGTTAGGCACACAATAAGAGAACGATCTTTTATAAATTTCATAATTGTGCTTTGGTATTGTTAAAGCATGCCGATGCCTAACATTGACACTGTGAACATCAGTTCTGTAGCGTATCTTATAATATAGGTAAGGCGGACTCCTAAACATAATGACTCTATGATACAAGCATAACGAGTGAAGAACTCTTCTAAGAGCCATGTTCAACCAACCCACCCAACCAAGCGAGTGAGATATATGCTCCCATCTTTTTATTCCGTAAATAAATCGCAAACATGAATTTTGAAACTTTTGAATTTTATAAGTGGTTATACTGTCCAAACAAGAATAATATATAGGAGCTCCGTAATTAAATATAGAGAGCACTAACGTGTCACATAATTGAATTTTTAGTTTAGTGCTTAAAATGTGCTTATTAGAATATAACAGTTTCAAAGTGGAATATGCTCTTTGTAGTAGGGAGCCAGCATAATTCCTAAATCTCAGATCCTCCTCAATGATCATACCCAGATTCTTCGCACTGTCTCCAAAAGTCAGTGTGTGTCCGTCAATTATAATATTAAGGTTAGATTTGACACATTTGGTCTTGAGAGCCGCACGTCTCTCAAGACGGCTAAACCCGAATGATTCTAGTTCTAGGTCTTATGTTAGTTCTAGTGATAGTGCTAGTGTAAAACTAGAACTAACACTAGACCTAGAACTAGAAACATTCGCGTTTAGCCGCACGTCTCTTAAGACGGCTAAACCAGAATGATTCTAGTTCTAGGTCTTGTGTTAGTTCTAGTGATAGTGTAAAACTAGAACTAACACTAGACCTAGAACTACCAAGTATCGGGTTTAGCCCCACGTCTCTCAAGACAGCTAAACCCGAACGTTTCTAGTTCTAGATCTTGTGTTAGTTGTAGTGATAGTGCTAGTGTAAAACTAGAACTAACACTAGACCTAGAACTAGAAACATTCGGGTTTAGCCGCACGTTTCTCAAGACGGCTAAACCCGAATGATTCTAGTTCTAGGTCTTATGTTAGTTTTAGTGATAGTGCTAGTGTAAAACTAGAACTAACACTAGACCTAGAACTAAACTAGAAATATTCGGGTTTAGCCGCACGTCTCTCAAGGCGGCTAAACCCGAATGATTCTAGTTCTAGGTCTTGTGTTAGTTCTAGTGATAGTGTAAAACTAGAACTAACACTAGACCTAGAACTACAAAGTATCGGGTTTAGCCCCACGTCGCTCAAGACAGCTAAACCCGAACGTTTCTAGTTCTAGGTCTAGTGTTAGTTCTAGTTTTACTTCAATAAAAATTTGCAACACAATGATACTTAATGCTAACTAGCACTATCACTAGAACTAACATTAGACCTAGAGCTAGAAACGTATGTTGTGTCAGTTGTGTCATGAAAAATTTTCTAAACAATTGTTGTTATTGTCAAAATGTTTTCCAACCTAGAGCACAAATTACTAGATATGGGGAAAAAGTGTTTCCAACCGACTCTTATTTCACCGATGGTTATCCTTCCGATAAGTTTATCGACCGGATAGTTATCAGGTAGATTTATCGGTATATTGTATAATATTTTGTTGTAAAGCACGCGATTCCAAATGTTTTAATATTAAAGTTGTAGCACACGTTATTCTTAACAATATTGCTCACATGCGTTTTTGCTCTCAGATGTATAAATATCGAGAAAAATTATACATCTATGGTATATAATTTTGTTATTGAGCCTAAAGAAATTGTAATTCAAGAAGTTTTGAGTATACAATATAAGTAAAGAAAAGGGCATAACCTCACGTCGCGAACCCATCTCTTTATTTAAATATTTCAGTCGAATAGTCGAGTACCTTGGTCGTATTTTTATATTGAAATTTATTCCCATTTCGCCCAGTCCCGCCCAAGTCCGCCGTATTAATATTTCATAAGTCATTCATTCGTCTTAGCCTCCGGACAAGTTTATTCGATGCAACTTTGCGAAACGCCCCGGGCAAAATTCGGCAGAACTTCGGTTGAAAAATTACTTTATGTGCACCACTCCAACCTTCGAAAGTCTAAACTTTAACGAAGCACACCTTAACGGATCACATTTAAATGGGATGTAAATTGGTTTCGCGCTCGATACCCCAACGGAACAACATTGCCAAAAGCATTCTTTACAAAGTAAAACCACAAGAGCAAAGTAAAAAAATAGAAGAGTTTTGGAACTTTATGATTAAAACGTATTTCCCCTTGGATTTAACATCCATAATTAAACCGAAATATTTTTACTAATTTGTTCAAACATTAAAGACCAATTTAATTACGACATTCTATTAATTTCCTTTAAGTCGGAATCCACGGTATTTCGAATTCTATGAAGTTTCTGTAATTGTCACGGAACATCTAAAAATACCAACATTCATGAAATCCTTCGGGTTGTACATTAAAATCCTTCGGAAGTAATAAACAACATGTTAGCATGACATCAAATTTATACATATTAAAAAAAACTTACCATATTCAAATCGTGAAAACGTTATAGTGAAATCCCAGAAACTAGGTAACAACACGTATCTTCAAAATGAGGTCGTAAATCACAAGCTCACGTGCCTCGTCCGAAAACATTTTAATATTCTTAGTGTTGCAGATGTACGCGCAGGGGGTTGAAACTGCTGACAGTTTTCCGATTGTAGAAACGCTTTTGCGCAAAGCTACATGTTCGTTAAATCTGTTAAAGGTTGTTTCGACCCCATGATTATTTTTGATGGCAAATTAGAATTTCTCGGTTCATAAGGGTGCGGCGACCACAGTTTCATTCCGCCCGAATGTAATTATAATTGAATTTTAAATTTGCGCGCACATTACTATTGTTAGAGCGGGCGAGACAGGCGAGGCATGTTTTGGAATAATTACGAAATTAGACATTTAAAGTTTGGATTACGAGACTGAACGAGCTTCTGCGGGAGTGGAACAAGTTGCACAGCTTTAAAACGAATCACGAAGCGTTATTTTAATTTGACAGGTACGGGTCCGGGTTTCTCTCAAGTTTCGGGATTTATATTCCCTATGGCGCACTTAAGGGCCTCATTTGATGGTACTTTGAGACTACGCGTACCGTGAAGGAAAGGAGTTTAATACTAGGGCGACATTTTCCACATCCATATTTAGAAATGTTTCATTATCTATATTAATCATTTGTACCTATACTCTAATTTTTAATTCGGAGGACTGTTTTCAAATTGAAAGAAGCAAAAGAAGGGTTGCTATTGATCAGTTCCTATATATGTTACAAATTTTACTAATTCTTCTATTCAAAAAGAGAAGAGGGCGTATCTGTCACATATGTTAGATAGTAAAAATTCTCGTGAACTTTGGCAGAGTTTCCGGTCGATGGGTATTGTTAGTGTCAGGCAACGGACAATTCCTGAATCTATAGGCAACGCCGATCAAGTTAATGAGTTTTTCCTCGATGCACAGATCAGTGTGTTGGGTGACGCCAATTTAATTCGGCATTATCAATCTAATATCTTCCCTGGTGTCATCGAATCACTGTCCTTTTCTCTCGCTTCGGAAGAGGAAATATTGGATATTCTTTGTAACATTAAGACAACTACAGTTGGAGTTGACGGTATTAGTGTTAAAATGTTGAATATGTGTTGTCCAACAATTATACCGTATATATGTCATATTGTGAACTATTGCCTTGAATTGTCTGTGTTTCCTGACCTTTGGAAGATTGCTCAAGTCACGCCAATTCCAAAAACATCCAGCCCTCGGGAACTTAAAGATCTCCGCCCCATAAGTATTTTGCCTATATTGTCCAAGATTCTGGAAAAAGTGGTTGCTACTAGACTTACCCAGCATCTAAATAAATTTAATATTCTACCAGTCCGTCAGTCTGGTTTTCGTTCAAGACACAGTTGTACGACAGCCCTTCTCGATGTCACGGATGATATTTTCCATGCAATTGACCAAAAAAGCGCCACGATCCTGATTCTCTTGGACTTCTCTAAGGCCTTTGATACCATTCACCACCCCACTCTCTTAGCAATACTCCACCATATTGGCCTTTCGGAGGGTGCCATAAAGTTTTTTAATAGTTACCTCCTGAATCGGTCACAAACTGTTAAGCTTCATGGAAAGGAATCTTCAGCAGCAGTGGTGTCCTCAGGCGTGCCGCAGGGTTCAATTCTTGGCCCTCTGCTCTATCTAATTTATACGGCTGCTTTACCAAAAGTACTAGACTATTGCACTGCTCACATGTATGCTGACGATACTCAGGTCTATTACTCATTCAATGAGAATAACATTGACAAGGCTGAAAGAGCTATCAATTCTGATTTAGACAAATTGGCCCACGAAGCTTCAAATCATTGTTTGATTATTAATCCGTCTAAATCAGCAGTTATGGTATTTGGGAGTGGTGGTGTGGTGAACAGGGTCAAGGGGTCTCTGAGTGTCGGAGTGGGTGGTGTTAAATTGAATTTTACGGACGAGTGCTGTAATTTGGGTATACGTCTTGATACCGCACTCCGATTCCGTGGACATGTTTCTTCACTAATTCGTAGAGCCTACGTGACGCTTAAATTATTGTACAGTAACAGGAGCTTACTTAACCAACGTTTGAAAATCCAATTATGTGAAGCTCTTGTTCTGTCCATATTCAATTACGGAGATGCTTTATATCATCCATGCTTAGACTCTGTAACCAAAGTGCGTATCCAAAGAGTGCAGAACTCATGTCTGAGGTTTATATATGGTATTAAAAGACGGGAAAACATATCACACACTCTGAATTGGGCAAATTGGTTGAATATGACGCGTCGTAGAATCCTTCACAGTGCTTGCCTCTTTCACAGAATTATTATGTATAAATGTCCACCATATTTAGCCAATAGAATCAGGTATCGCAGTGACGTGCACAATATTAATATACGACATCGGCACATGTTATGCATACCACGCCATGAACTTCAAATCTTTAAAAGATCTTACTCTTATAATGTAACTACTATTATGAATAGCCTTCCTGATTCAGTCAAGCAGCTGAGTGAGCGAAGTTTCAAGTCATATTATAAAAAAATTCTTTTGATTGAGCAGAACAGCATTTAAATTTAAATTTTAAATTTAAGTTCTTATTAAGAGGTAATATTCACTTTTTACATTTCTGAATTGTATGACCTAACAGGGCAGGGGGAGATTGTTCGCGGCAGCTTGTTCAACCTTTTCTTCATTTTCCTATGTTTTTGTTCTTTAATTTTGTTGTTTTTTTTTTATTATTCCTTATTATTGTTATTTTTCATTGCTAACTAATTTAGGTGCTTACTTCTGTTAATATAGTTTTTTTATATATATATATAGTTAGTGCTATCTTGTTTGAAACCAATTTATTTATTATTTCTATTATAAAAGGGCCGATGAAAAACAATAGCAGACAAGCTATGTCTGCATTGACTCGGCTCTTTTTGATGACGCGCTGTTATTAAGTCCGGTTTTGTTGATAATTTCAGAGTGTTTATTATTTTATTTACTTTTATGTATTATTTTTTGTATTTTTTTTGTGGGCTTGTAAATTCTTTGCTGCATCATCAATAAACATATATATATATTATTATTATAATTAGAGTTTCAAAACAAAACTGACCTATCCTAACATTCCTTCACGCTTTAATTTGGTTTTCAAAAGAAAACTACCGGTCTTAACATTCCTTCACGCTTTAATTGGGATACCTATAACTAGAATCATTCGGGTTTAGTCGTCTTGAGAGACGCACGGCTAAACCCGAAACTTTCTAGGTCTAGTGTTAGTTCTAGTGATAGTGTAAAATTAGAACTAACACTAGACCTAGCACTAGAAACATTCGGGTTTAGCCGTACGTCTCTCAAGACGGCTAAACCCGAATGATTCTAGTTCTAGATCTTGTGTTAGTTTTAGTGATAGTGTAAAATTAGAAGTAACACTAGAACTAGAAACATTCGGGTTTAGCCGCACGTCTCTCAAGACGGCTAAACCCGAATGATTCTAGTTCTAGGTCTGGTGTTAGTTCTAGTGCTAGTGCAAAACTAGAACTAACACTAGACCTAGAACTAGAAACATTCGGATTTAGCCGCACGTCTCTCAAGACGGCTAAACCCGAATGATTCTAGTTGTAGGTCTTGTGTTAGTTTTAGTGATAGTGCTAGTGTAAATCTAGAACTAACACTAGACCTAGAATTAGAATCATTCGGGTTTAGCCGTCTTGAGAGACGTGCGGCTAAACCCGAATGTTTAGTTAGTTTAATTGTTTAATGTTAGTGATAGTGTAAAATATTATGTAAACATTCGGATTTAGCCGTACGTCTCTCAAGATGGCTAAACCCAAATGATTCCAGTTCTAGGTCTTGTGTTAGTTCTAATGATAGTGTTAGTGTAAAACTAGAACTAACACCAGACCGAGAACTAGAAACATTCGGATTTAGCCGAATAAAAAGCCGAAATAAAAATTCTTTTTATCCGAAAACTTTTTATTCACCATTTTACGACAAGCTTATTTTTTGAGAAATAAAAACTTTTTTTGGTCACTCATCTCGTTTCATTATAATTTTAACGGTTATACCCTCGGTGGATTTTGAGAGAAGTTCGCGTTTCTGTTTTGCTAACGTCAAAGATTAAAATGGCGACGAGTAATAAGCCCGAAAGGAGCGCGCAAGATAAAATCTCCATCTCCATCGCGAAGGGCGAATTGAAAACAGAATTACCCTACAAATAGCCGTCGAGGGAACTCTGCACTTCGCCGACACAAACAACGTACCGTCATTTCTTCCCTCTTGCACTTCCTTTCTTTGCCCATTACCTTGCGGTTTTTCAACGAAAATGTACTGCAACGTATATAGTGACGTTTTACTTTGTTATGAATGCGTTTTGCAACGTTGTTCGCAACGATACTTATGCGTTTCAAGTCGGAATGTATTTCCTTTTGTTCAGTTCAAGTTCCAAGTGTGGTTTTTTGCGTTATTAAGAAATAGATTCATCTGTAATAACTAATTAGTATTTTTTTGATTAGAATCTGCACACTTTTAGATAAAATTTTTGAAAATTTTGTTATTCCAACTAATTATTTTTAAAATTATTATTTATATTTTGTTGATAGTAATAGTTAATAGTTCTTATTTATAGAAAATTGTAACAATATCTTCTTTTAAGATAAACGTGGAATTGCTTAAAAGGAATTCCCCTTACGACGGTCAAAAGAGCAACGTCCTAATCCTGGCGATAAGATTGAACCTATCTGCGGGATTTCACGTCGCAGATGAACAACTAAAAAAGAAACACGGCCAAACAGCGGGACGCAGTGATTCCCCTTTATCCAATATGCAACAGATTGTGCGCGAGTTCAGAGTATATATACTCAGCTCGCTTCTCGTTACGAACCATAGAGCAAATCTCTCGACCGAGCAGCCCGACACACTTGGATTCCACACTGTCAACGTGCTCCTTCAGCAGATAAATCTTGTAAACAGTAAGTGCTTTTCTTGCTGGAATTAATAGCGCCATTATCCACCTTTTTCGCGTTTTGAATGGAATATAAAAATAAGCAATTAAATTTATTGTATTTTTTTTTTTCAATAGATGATGATCAAATGCATCGCTTTATTTGCCTTGGTGGCTGCTTCCGCAGCGTATGTTATCCCTGAGGATCAATACCAACAGTATTTAATCGTAGGGCATTACGAACCGCAACAATATGAACCTGTAGATATTGATGAACACGTTAGATATAGAAGATCTTTTGCCCCAGGTGCCCCACAGATTGGGGGCAGCACGGAAAATCCTTACCCCTGGAGTGTAGGAGGAAACGTTGATAGAGTTGGAGCTGACACCATTGCGAAAATCAATGCTGGTCACAGTACCGATCAAACTCAAGTTACTGGAAGTTGGAGTAAAGTTGTTAGAGGCCCAAATAAGGCTAAACCGAACTGGAGCGTTGGTGTTCAACACAGATGGTAGAATACACAAACATTTTGTTATTTATTTTTTATTTTTACGTTCTTTAATAAATAAAATACTATAAAAATTATAAATATGTCAAGCTGTGACAAACACCCGTCAAAAACATCAAATCTCACGACAGATTCAAGCAGATTAATTAATCTGTCTACTGATTATGAATCGCAAGAAGTATCACCATAATACTTTATAAGTGCGAGCTATTATGTTGCAACGTTTCAAATGGTAACAATCCACCATATTCTAGGAATGTTCCTAATATTGACTCACCATTCGTTGTCTTACCGAATCCCACATAGAATTAAAGATCCCGATGACCCTTACAATCAAGATTACATTTCTAAACTCAAAATGTTACGTTTATTAAAATACGTGAATCGATTAAATCATGAAAATATCCTTGCTGAATATGAAGATGATGGTTATCCGGAACAAAACACTAAAAAACCAGAAAAATTTCGTTATCATTATAATAAAAATAACATGCAGCTACCTTCAAATCTTAATTACGAAATAATAATTTCGGAGCCAATCAAAAGAAATGGAATCCTTTTTGATGATGATAATAACAACAATAATAACAAAATGAAAAGCTTAAATTATTACGATCTCGACGAGTACGACGAAAACAATGTGGGTTACGATGACCTTAACTATCAAAAAATGTTCAAAAATTATATCCAACGTAATTCTGATCATCAACGTCAAAGGAATGCGGTGTGTAAGATATGTAAAAGTAAACAACCTTGCCAATGTCGTCAACACCCTTCTGCAAAAAAAATCGATACTTTAAAGAATACCCCAAAACTAAAACCTTTAAAATCAAGTATTTTGTATGAATACTCAGATGAAAATGATCTCCCTAAAAGTGATTCCCCTCACAATAAACATAAACAAAAAGGTTTCCAACTATTCATGTTAAACGATGAGGACGAACTTGCATCAAGCTTCACTCAAGATGAAATGAGAACCACCAGATTCATAAAACATTTTCAATCTGATGATGAAGATAGAAATCATAAATATCGTCGTTATCAAGAAGGAAATAAACAACGAAAGTATGATCCGAATATAAAATCAATCTATATTAAAATTAGTGATATCCAAGAAAGTGATAACATATCTCCACTTACTATATCACCCAAACACATTAAAGACGTCGATTATTCAGATTTTGAAAGTACTGAAAGTGAAAAAGTGGTTCATATCCCACCGTTAAAGCATACAACGATTCGGAATGATATGGATTTTGATAAATTAGCAACGAAGCGTCATCATGTACCAGAAGTTTCATATAAAAATGAGTTTTCTGATGCCGAATTAGAAAGGGGTGAAAATGTAGCAGTTACAGGTGATGAATACGATGAGTTGAAAACAACCAAGAATTATGTATCATCATCTACGCCGTCATCAAGTAATAATGCCGAATATGATGATTATGGATCATCAACTGGTGGAAATGATTATGAGAATTTTATGAACATTAATTATAATAAAAATGATATTCCTTCTTATGAAGATGACAGCAATGATTTGCTAAAAAAATCGAAAAAAATCAAAAACAGCGGTTGTAACGGTCCTTGTGAACCGCCATCAAATGATTATGAAGTTGAAATCCCATCTTCTAGTACATGTTCGGGATCAGCTTCTCCTTGTGGAAGTTCATGTAACTTGAATAAGAGCCCCTGTGGTACAGATCCTTGTTCAAATAAAGGGCCTTGCGGAACGCAAAAAAATCCTTGTCCCTCACAAAAAAATCAATGTACTGAAAAAGTCTTAAATATGTTTGGTTCAAACGATGATAGTTTAACGCAAAATTTTCAAATGAATAATTTACGACCTTATACCGGAAATCATCCAAATTGGAACAGTTATTACAACAAACGCCCACAACCTTCAAATGATCAATCCTTTGATCCATACAAATTTGATTACGACGAAGCACGGCAAGCCCATAAATTTTATTCGAGCAATAACTACAAATCTAACGAAAAAACAATGCCAAAAGGCGAATGGTTTTCAACTAAACGACCAGATGGTTTGATTGATGACGAGATTTTTAACTCAGAAAATGACAAAAAGCAGCAAACAGCTTCTGTTCAAGAAAATAATTTACTACGTCATTTAAAACAACATAAAACATACGAAGGAACGTCAAAATCAACATTATCTTCAAACACTAATGATTATGGATTAAGTGATTTATCAACTCGGCCCGATAAACGAAATAATAAGAAACAACGCAGTAGTATCAAAATTGAAGATGATGAAGATTATAATAATGATATGTTTGTTTCAACGGACATTATTTCAGTTGCTTCAAAAAATAATGGGAAATCTCCAAATAGACGCGATAACAATGATAATAAGGTTAGTTAGAATAAATAAAATGGTATAAAGTAATCATTTTTTTTTGTCGATAGGAAAATAACAGTAGAGTTGTAAAAGATGTAAAAAAGAAACAGCAAAGAAGGCAGGCTACAACATCGAGTCACTCAAAATCTAAAAGGAAGAATAAAACTTGAAAAATAATTTAATTTTAAGAAGAAAGAGAATATTGGGTAGCTCAAGTAATGTTTAGAATAATTGTTGTAGGAATAAGAAAAGATTTTCTTTGTTAATATAACTCGTGGAATATATTGAAATAAATTTATTAGTGCAAAATAAATTTCAATAATTATGGTTTTAATAATAACTTTTTTTATAAAATATAAAAATTTTGACAATAAATACGTAAAAAGACAATAACTAATTAGTGTCTAATTGTCAATTAAGTTGTTTTTGTCAAATCCGGGTGAGAAGATTTTGTTGCGTTTTCTAACATTTTCTATGTGCGGTTGAGTTCCTAGCCGTTTTCTCTATTCATGTTATTCCCATGTCGATGAATCTCTATCGCCTCTCTCGCCATTCTTTGCAAGTAATGTCCGGTTCTAGTTTTTGACTAGCACTGTTACCAGAACTAACACTATACCTAGAACTAGAATCATTCAGGTTTAGCCGAAAGTTTCTTAAGACGGCTAAACCCAAATGATTCTAGTTCTAGGTCTAGAGTTAGTTCTACTTTTACACTAGTACTGTTACTTTGTAGAACTAATACTATACCTAGAACTAGAATCATTTTGGTTTAGCCGCACGTTTGTGAAGATTCTAGTTCTTGGTCTAGCGCTGCACAACAATTAAAACTAGAACTAACACTAGACCTAGAACTAGAAAGTTTCGGGTTTAGCCGTGCGTCTGGAGACGTTAAACCCGAATATTTCTACTTCTACACTGAGAAAAATAATGTGGGAAAACTACCTAAAATTTAGTCATATTATCTAGAATTTTTAGCCAAAAATTAACTAATTTTTACTACTAGTTATATAAACTAATTCTATTTCGATAATTTAAGATAGATAAATGATCGAAAAATGCATCTTATAAATAACTAATAAAATTAGTTTCATTATACAGGTGTGTCAAATGTCTAGAATATAGCCAATAATTTCGCCAATTGTGGTTAAAAAAAAAGTTTCAAATACAAGTTTCTTTATTAATCATGGCGCATTTTTTGGCGATATTTGCTTGTTGCGAGTGTATAATTTTTACTTAATGTTATTCTCTTCTCTTAATGTTATTCTCTTCTCTTTGTTTTAAAAGCCAGTCATTTTCTTTTCTATTAATGTAACCAAAATTGTTTAACATGATTCTTTTCCTTAGTTAGCAATATTGATCGACAATCCTATCTTTCTTTTCTTTCTTTTATTCCTTGTCTTTATTTCGCCAATTACGAATTTAGGTAGTTTTAAGTTAGTTGTAAGCAAGTTCTTAATGTAGTAAGAAGTAAGTACGTCAATAAAACTGTGGAGCGTTAGTTCTGTCTGTACTTTCAAAAATCCTCGTCAGCATCCCTAAATTTACGTTGGGTAAACCATCCCCAACATGCTTGTTTGTATTGTTCCGTTGCTATGGCAACCAACATTGTTTTAAATGGGATGCATATATCTTTTTTGCATACTTTGATGGAGGATAAGTCCATCTATGCGATGAACATATCAAATCATATGGTTGTATAAGAAAAAAATCGAGAAAAATGCGTTTTTTGAAAGTCTTAAATTAGCTAATTACAATCAAAGTAGGCGACGAAATAACGCCGTTGACAGCTTTAAATGTCAAAAAAATTACAGTTCCAACAATTATGAATAATTAATAATGTATGGTCATTGGTAACTGTCTTCGGCCATCAACTTTTTGGATGGTAACACCGGAAGTGTTAAAATTTTTTTTTAATATTTTTGATACTGTGGATTGTGTAATTTGTGTATCCGGGTAAATATTATTGAACAGTGTACAAATTTCACCTTGAGTGCGTTTTCTATCACCTGCACCGTACCCATACATTATTAATATTTGGATTCTTTGTCGTTCGCTTAATTGCGCCATATTTGTTTAAACTGACAATTTTTTGACATTTAAAGCTGTCAGCGGCGTTCAAGGTTTATATATTAAAGGTTGTCTAAGTTCCTATGCTGCAATACTTTGATTTTAGTTTGTGGGCGAGGGGCAAGAGCAGGAGTGTTTCATGACGTATGCGATCACGAATTGCGCACGCAACCTCATATCCATATGGTGTTCCATGCATTTGTTTAATTTGAATTGCTTGGCGGTATTATTCTCCACATGTGACGTAATGCGCAGTATGGTTGCGTACGAACCTAGACAACCTTTTATATATAAACCTTGAGCGGCGTTATTTCGGCGCCTACTTTGATTGTAATTAGCTGATTTAATATTTTCAGAGAACGCATTTTTTTTCGATTTTTTTCTAATACAACCATATAATTTAATATGTTCGTCATGTAGAGGGATTTATCCTCTATTAAAATGTGCAAAAAGAACATACGCATCCCATTTAAAATAACAATGTTGGTGTGCATAGCAACGAAACAATACAAACAAGCAAATATCGCCAAAATATGCGCCACAATTAATAAAGAATTTTTTATTTGAAACATTTTTCTTTAAAACCACAAATGGCGAAGTTCTTGGCTATATTCCAGACATTTGACACACCCTGTATAATATTAATGGATGTTTTTACTANGGTCATGTTGAAAACCTTTTGCAGTAGCTCATAATTAAGCTTAAATTTAATTTAACTTCGCACAACATTAACATGTAGGTTTTGATAACAGTTGTCGTAAGTGGTCTTAGTTCAAGTCTGTTCTAATGTTGTATTTCGTTTTATTAACTGGCGTACAATAAATTGTTTTATTACGTAATTTTTTTATGGTTTCAGTTTAATATTGTTATCAATTATCAATTACGGTTAGGTAAATGTCAACATTCCATGCCATGCTTGTGTCTTAACAGATTAATGCTACGTCGACCACCGTGAAATGTAGTGTAGTGAATTAGTAAAATTCAAATATCTCGAAAATCGTTAATATTTTCAAGATCAAAGAAGTATAGCTTTTTTCTACAGAAATGATGGGGCTATCCAAATTAAACAAGTATGTTGTAAAATAATGAGCGATAAAAAATTTGTAGCTGATTTCATCTAATTCATATGGCGCATGTGGCGACATCTACGAGTTAACTCAAATCCTCTCACACATTATTGTTTACCCTTACAAAAACTATAAGTCAACTATGAGTCATTATGTAGAAAAGTAGCTGATCTATTAACAAAAATCTATTTTATTTTTTTCGCTTTAACATCCTGTATCTCAGTAAGGAGCAGACTAATTGTAAGACCCATTATTGTTAATGAAAATATTATTATTTTGGCCTCCTGAACGTACATTTACAATTTGGCCCATTACTTATGAATCACCCTGTAGATAACTTAACTTAAATCGACATATTTTGAGCCAAGGAATCTGTGGTCTTCCGTTGTACACGCATTTCGGAGACACCCTGTATATATGAAATAATTAAACGTATATTTATGCTTTTATTGATATTTTAATTGTACACTCTGCCTGACGCGTTTCGGCGATCTACGCCATCTTCGGAGGCTTTCGTCCTGTTTTGCTATGTTATGTAGTACATTTATAAAATATTATTTTCCTTCTTAGGTTAAAATGTTTCTTTCAGAGATTATTTTTAGTTATTAATTACAAATGGGCTGGATTATTTATTGTATTGTTTTTCTTTTTCTCGGGAGTGAACGAAATGTAGTAATCATTAATATTTGAAGAGCCGTCTCTTAAGATTCTAGTTCTTGGTTTAGCGCTGCACAACAATTTAAACTAGAACTAACACTACACCTAGAACTAGTAAGTTTCGGGTTTAGCCGTGCGTCTCTAGTCGGCTAAATCCGAATGTTTCTAGTTCTAGGTCTAGTGTCTTAGTTCCAGTTTTAGTTTAATATCCTTTTCTGTTTGAATCGCAATATAGTACACAGTGGGTCCTAAATAAACTGCTTTTATTGTCTGCAAACTATTTATACCAAATAATAGCATTAAGTTTTTCTTTGACACCAGGGTTGTATTTGATTTACACGCGTATTTTACCATAGCCAAAGCTTTAAAGAGATTTGGCAGAATGATTATTCGTTAATGTAATACTAATTTTACAAATTGCGTGATTTGGCGTATTTCGGTGGAGCTTTTTTGATAAAATATTCCAAATCAAATTTGTTAGTGTAAATTAATTTATCACAATTTATATTTAAAAATAAAATGTTTTTATATTCAACTAAACGTAACAAAAATCACAAAACCCCATTCAACTTTGGACAGGTACCAGACCAATCTCGATAACGGTTCGCGTCAAATTCGACATTGTATTATTGTTGCGATAGCATACCATATTTTTTTTGTACATTTTGATTCTCGTCAGAATAACAATAGCGTCGATTTAAATATCGGTCAACCCTCGAGCGTTGACATTTTAAAAATAAAGCTGCCTACGAAATCGATTGCCTCCAGCACAAACGAGCGGCAATTCCGCAGGACTACGAGTACCATTAATTAAAACTGAGTGCACAATACGTGCTTTTCGCGTTTTTGGGACTTTCTTTTTACTACGTTCGTTCGCTTGTTTCGTGTTTTGGCAACCGTGACACCGAACAATTTTAAGCAAATGAGAAAAGGTGAGGGCATTTAAAACGCCATTACGCACACTTTTGTTATCGATTTAAATCCAGCATTTGCGAATTTAATACAAAAAATTGTTTTAAAATTGAGTTGGAAAAGAAACAGCACAAAATATCATTAATCACCACTTAGATTTGTGCAAGGTCAAGCGGTTATTTCTGTGAAATCTTGTAAGAGGTATTTTACCGGATGTTATCGCTGAATTACGTCAATAAATATACTATAAGATAGAGTAAATCTTTGTTGGTTGATTCACTTTTTATGAGAAACTGCTCTAATTGGGTATTAAGAACTCAAAATTATTAAGGTAATTATTTATTACTAAAAAGTTTGTTTATAATTTAATCCAAGATAATTTTTTGTTGTAGATGTATCGTTTTGTAATATTACTTTGCGTATTAATCACTATAAAAGGTATAAACTCAGCTCCTGCAACACAAGAAAATGAAGAACCTCAACCAAATTCATCGAAAATATCTGGGACACCATATCAATCAAAAAGACCTTTTACAAAAAATAACAGGGCGGAAATAAATGTTGAAAAAGTAGGTCGGAACACAGTAGCTACAGTTCGAATTCTTTCTAAGAGCAAAAACCATGATGTTACTGCTGTTTGGGAGAAAGTTATCGATGGACCTAACAAATCGAAACCCACACTTAATATAACTGGGACAGTGAAAGGATAAACACAAAGAAACCGAAATTTTTTATTATTATTATTGATTATTTGTGTTAATTTATTGTGTCGGAGTGTTAAAATAAAATACTAAGCAAAGAATCCTAAGATATAAAGCGAACCGTTCCACATATTTTCTTGGGTCTTTGAACCGTTGATCCTTGGGGGATTTTCTCATTTCTGCTCGCTTCGATTCTCTCTCGGGAGGCGTATACACAACTTGTCAGTCTGGTTTTAATGAAAGAAGCCTATTCTTTTTTTTTACCTTTGGGTATTCCGAGATAAAAGAGTACAAAGTTACCCACACATGTAATAAATGTAATAACTTTTTAAATAAAAATTATAATATTAAAAATAAAAATATAAAACTTCACCATAACATAATTATAACGTTATCATTAAGTTTTTAAATTTAAAACGTTGATTAGTTTGTTGGACTTCCCAACGACCTTTAATCGAAAGATAAATCCTCGAATGATTTGTCAACATCGCTAGCGTTTAATCAATTATCTACGAGAAGAAAGATTTGATGTAACCAAGTTGGAAAAGGATTTTCCCTTTTTTTCCGCCAAAGTTGTTATCAGTCTACGTCATGCAACCGCTATAAATAATCTTATAGCAACCAGTTCTTCGCAGTTCAAGGTAGGCATTCAACTCGTCGAGACGCTAACCATATTATCTTATCTGTAAACGTAAGTTCTTAATGTTCGTGTTAATTAACAACAAAATTTATTAATTAACTTTTTGCTTTGTGTGTTTTTTTTTAGATGAAGTTATTCTCAATTTTTCTTTGTCTTTTTATAATTGCTGTATACTCTGCGCCGCAACCAATTAATCAAGAGGAGTTAACAAGGATCGAAAATGAAAAAGGGGGTTATGTAAATTTACAACGAGTCAAGAGGAACGATAATACCGGTGGTGTAGATATTTCCAAAGATGGTGATGATACGGTAGCAACGATTATATTGAATAGCAAAAATGATAGATATAATCTCCTTGGAACTTGGATCAAAGTTATTGATGGCCCTAATAAAGGAAAACCAAAATTTAGAATTGGGGGAAATTTTACTTTTTAATGGAACTTTAAATCATGTTTCTAGTATTATTTTTTGCTATTTGTAATTTATGCTTCTTTGTGATATTAAGAAATAAAATAAAATAATGTAATATGTGATGATTTATTTTTAATATTAAGAAAATTTAGTTTTCGTACAATAAAATATTAATTAACTCATTAACATTTACCATATGCTGTTATATCGAACTAATATCCTCCATATCACCAAGTATTGATCGATAATATCTTGATGATATATGATGACCTACCAAAAACTGACTGTGGCTTTAAGAATTCAAAAGATATTCTGTTAATTTTCGTAATTTCAAGTTTTCTGTTATTCAGGAGTACCTACTGCAACTGTAATGTACTACATTACATTACATAGACTACATATCGGGTAGGAGGACCAACCTACCTTGCACCGCGACCTTAAGGATCTATAGTACCACGATAGATATCGTTATCAAATTTCATTTAACGGCAGGGCAGTGGCATAAAACCCAACAAGTTGAAGTGTGCTTTTAATCGACAGTGCCCAGTAAAGACACCCATTAGAACTTTTATGCTGCTACGGGCAAGTCCTAAAATATTCCAGGGTTTGACAGTGGCGATGTTAATAAACACCTTAGCATGTCTCATTCCAGGAGAACTGGTCTACAGTAGGCGAAGTCTCTCTTGAGCCCACTTCAGCATCACAAATGATACACCGACTGCTGGTTCCGGCCCCACAAACGCTTTAGCGCTGTCCTCTCGTGCTAGCTCATCTGCCGCTTCATTGCCAGCAACCCCAGAGTGACCTGGAACCCAGATCAGAGAAACTCTGTTATCACAACTCAGCCAACTCTGCAAGCCATTTTCACGGCTTGCAGCGATTGGAGAGCGGCTTGACTGTCTGAAAAAATTCTTACTGTCATGTTCTTCAACCCACTCTCAAGAAGGATTTTAGCACCCATGTCAATAGCAAATACTTCCGCCTGGAATACAGTACAGTACGTACCCAGGCTGTAGGCTTGCTTAATTCGAGGTGTCTGGCAGTATACTCCTGCTCCGACCCCTTCGGGCGTTTTTGATACATCTGTGAATATGCAAATATCTGTGTGAACCAGATAATTTTCATTTTCGATTCAGGTCTGCCGCTCAGACAGTACAATCTGGTATCGAGCATTAATCACTGATAGTGATCCCGCCAAATCTGACGGCATTGATAGCACAGTATCAGTGCTTATAATGTCTTCCGCAGCCCATTGGTAAAGCCGGATTTATATTTGTCTGGCGTGTTGTGTCGTGATGCGCTCTGACGTAATGGTTAGTGTTCACATTTATATGTTGTGTTCTGATGCACTCTGGCGATATTTTGAATCAATACAATTGAAGCACTCAGAGAGTTCATACGTGTTTCTATAATGTTTTCCCAACAATCTTCTGATTTAGATTATGAAGAAGATATCCATTTTATGGTACTGGCAACTCTTCTACAAAAAGAAAAAGAGAGAAGATATTGGGTTCATCCAGTGAACAGAAAGAGAGAGCCTAAAGGCGAATTTCACGGCCTGGTTAAAGAGCTTGAGAGCGATGCTGATAATGTTAAATGTAATTAAATTTAATATCGAAAGAAAGAAGCAACGCAAATCTGACGTGTCATAAGACAGGTGTACACTTGTCTGATCTGTCGTTATGCGTCACTTCCCACTCCACTGATCTGGCGGACATCGGGATCGCTGCTGATGCGACACAACACACTGCGACACACAAATATAAATCTCACCATAGTAAATGTATTCAACCGATACCGTTCTGATCCACCACAACACGACACGTCAGACAAATATAAATCCGGCCTAAGACATGTCGGAACAATTTTGAGCATATTGCTGCTTAAATCTGTAAATGGTTGTTCTAGCCACTTTCTCTATATGCAAATGCAGAGCAGATAGGCCAAGCAACCTCCATTGCTAGAGTTGGCGTTGTGCTTATCGCACCAGAAATTGCTAGTCCAGCTACTCGTTGAATCCGTGAAAGTTTACTAATAACTGCAGTCTGTCGGATTTTCCTATATCAGGCTGCTGCTCCGTATGTGATCATAGGTCTAACCACAGTTACATAGAGCCAGTACATTCTTTCAGGGGTAAGATTTTTTCCACAAAGACAGCGACAAATTCACAAGGATAGTCTAGGTTTGTGCAAAACTCCCTGTAAATGGCCATTCCATGACAAGGTTTTGTCTAGGATTACTCCTAGATATTTGACTTTCTTTGAGAAAGAAATTTCTTCACCTTGGATAGTTGGGCAGATTAGTCCATCCAACTCTCGTTTCCTGATGAAGGGCACAACAATTGCTATAGTTGTTTCACCATAAAAAATTCCACTCCCCTGTCAAGAGCAGTTCTTTCAAGAGATTGTTGTGTTGTGTTGTTAAACACTCCTTCTATATCCAGAAACGCACAAACCAAGATTTCTTTATCCTGCAGCGTTCTGGATACTCTACCAACTAAGTATGTACTTGTATAGATTCTGCTGATTTTCCCGTTTGATAAGCATACTGGTGGCGACTCAGTGGACCAGATACCAATGGCACCGTACGGATATACCGTTCCAGAACTTTTTCAAGGGTTTTCATCAGATATGAAATGTACTATGTTAGTGAGGATAATTTCACTACTCCAGAGTTCTCTATTACTTTAGCTAAAGCTAAATTTGAAGTAAATGCTATGCTACTCAGGATTGTACAGAGGAGTGCTTTCTTATGGTGAAGTACTCCGCTTCCACGGGGAATTCTGCCACTTTTTCATGTAGCCTCCTAATTTGGATTACTCTGCCTAGATTACTTTGTTACTCTGCTATAATCTGCTTTTACACTTTAAGTAATTGAAATAATGTTAATAGTAAAACATCAATGATAAAAAAATCCTCATAACGACATAAATATTTGTTTAGTCGTGTTGTTAAATTTAAACAGTTGATTTTAGATATCACATCATAACCGCAAGATAATTCGCGATAACTTTGTAAATGTCAGAATTTGGGAAATGATTACACATTATTGAAAAGAAAGGAAAATATCCTGAATTAGTCAAGGATTTTCCATATAAAAATACCACAAAAATTGTTATCATTTATGTCATTCAACCAAAATTATCTCCCCTACAAGAATAAGTTCTTATTATTAATTATTGTACTTTATAAAGAAAATTATATTAATTAAATTAAAATTTTTTAGATGAAGCTTTGAGTTGTTTTCTTTGCTTGTAAGTAATTGGGGTGTACTCTATTTCACAACCGATTAATCAAAAGGGATTAATTGGGATAGAAAAGGAAAAAGTGAAAAATGATGACACCGGTGTTCAAAATATTAACAAAAATGATGGTGAAGCAACCGTTTGGATAACTTGGTTAAAAGTTATTGATGAACCCAATAAAAGAAAACCTAAATTTAAACTTGGAGGACTTTCAAATTTAGAGGAATATTTTACTAAATTTTTGTAGCATAAATATATTTTCTCTTTATATATTATATGTATAATTAATAATAAAAATATCGTCTTTAATACTATAAAAAAATATTTTTGCGTTTAGAACCTAAAAATACGTTGATTTTAAAACAACGTTATTCTGTAATGAAATCTCTTCTTTGAAGTTAGTAACCTAAATAAGCACCTTTAAACAGTGCTTTTTTCTTCTAATCAAACAAAAGTTCACAAGAGTATAATAAACGAGTGCCAAATGTTTATGACCATTTAGTAACATATGGTGTTGTAAAATTTGTAAATATAGTGAATTGAATGTATTGTTAAATTGATTGTTCTGATAAAAATTTTTCTTTCCTTTTTGTTTTTTATTTTATAACATTAACTTGCAACGTGGATCACGTAGTCTAAATTGATTTAAATTATCACATATTCTTGTTAGCTTTCCCTTTTTATTTCATCCAATCAAACATTATAAAATTGCTTTGGAAAAACACCAAATTAATTGAAAACGCGCTTCGGTGCTTCTGCAGATTATAAATTACTTTTACGTTGTGCATAATTATGAGGATATCAACAAGTTTAATTTAAAAATATATCTCTATATTTATCAGCTATAATAGGTAGCCATAACAAACATGTAAATATGTGACGAAGAAAATTATTTCAACGATTAAACCCTAAAAATAGGACGATTCTTTAAAACAACATTTTTTTTGTCTCTTTGAAGTTGGTAACCTAAATAAGCACCTTTTAAAAGTGTTTCTTCCTTCTAATCAAACAAAAAAAACTCACAAAATCGTTTAAACTCGTGCGAAATGTTTATGACCATTTGGTAATATTTATTATTAATATGTTAAATTACTTAATAAAAATAACTTAATTTTTTTCTTCCTTTTTACTCCTTAATAGCAGTAAATCTCTCAGAACTGGTTCTTTATCTGCATCTAAAATTAACTACTACAAGTGATAACTGACTTTTTACATTAAGACAAATCAACCAATAAAAGCCTACATCCCAAGGTTATTGCTTGTAAGACAAGTCGTGCCTCTTTCCCACATCGACGTCGGCTATGTCAAGTAACACCACGTGGTGATTCATTAAAATTTAAGATTAAGAAATCGCTTTGGGAATCACAAAATACATTGCAAAAGTAAATCTGGTTTCCCCGGTGATATCGTAGTTTATAAACTCCTTCTACGTCGTATATAATTTCAGTGTTATCGTGAAGTTTAAGTTGAAAACACTTCTATATTTATCCTACTTAGGATATCCATTTAAAGTAAGTTGTGTTACAACATTATTATTTTTGATTTAAATTAAAATTATTAATTTTTGTTATGTAGATGAAATCGCTCATTATTTTTATTTGTTTAATCGTTGCTGTTGTATATTGTGAACCACAATCGCAAAAATATATAAGCAGCGAACCTTATCCTTTATTGAGAAATAAAAGAAATGATAACCAAGGTGAATTTGTTATTGAAAAAGACGGCGATGATACTATTGGAACATTAACGATTAACTCGAAATCCGAACGGTACGATATTACTGCTGTATGGGAGAAAGTTCTGGATGGACCAAACAAAGACAAACCAAAGTTTAGATTAAGTGGTTCGTTAGATTTTTAAATCTGTGATAAAATAAATTATTTACTTTTGAGTTAATTTTTCTTTGATCCAAATTCATTCATTCCAATTTGCACTCTTTTTTCAGTGTTTTGATTGACCCTTTGGCCGTAAATGCACAGTCCTCCCGTCCATCTCGTTAAAAGCTCGTTAAACGGGATTATCCGATTAGAGGAGAGGTTGAACGTGAGGTGACCGCTGGGATTTCGTCAGAAATCTAATTACAAACAAGTCACGTCTTGCTGTAATGACGATTTTCAGACTCCAAGTATTTTCTACTAATGCTCTAAGATTTATTTGAAACTTTTCACTTTTTTATTTAACCCCATAAAAAATTTAATCTTAAATTATTAACTATCTTAATTTCCATTCCAACTAATATACCTCCAAAAATACCCAACATTAAACTTATCATCATCAAAAACTACACTTCCAACTCGGATATTAGTATCCCAAATCTACATAATACTCTCACTTAACTGGTTTAATTACATGGAAGGAACACGATAGACGATAAAACTTGATCGTTACAAACTTTACTTTTAATTACAGCCTGCTTGTTTTCTCTAATTCTATTAGTACGCGAAACTTCGTAATCGAAAACATTATGGGAAAGAGAAACATCCCAACGGATCGTCGCGCCATCTGTTTTCATCCCCTTTAGCATTTAATAATTTCGGAATTAGAAAGATGTTGCTCGCAACGAACGAAGAAAATTCCCAATTGGCGGTCGTTGGAAAGATTGCTCGAAAGAAAAGGTCGACGAGTTCCGATTAAAAAAAGCCTGACTTATTTCCTACCGTGAAAGAAGGTCTAACTTCTTGGGGAAAGTTTAATACAGCATAACTACCCCATGAAATGAGCAACTCGAGATCGAACCTACAGGGAAAATCCGGAGAGAATTGAGAAACGTTAGCTGATAAACTTTTTATAAGAAAAAACTCTGTGTTGTTTTGGCGTCAATTGTTTCTTTGATCTTTTGTTCGGGCTCACATAATTTTAGCATATTTTAAGCGTTGGCTCAATCTCGCGATAACCCAATTTCACTTCTGGTGTAATCTCGACATTAATTTTCTTTGTGGCGAAAAGACTTGGGAGACTTTCCAAATTACAGTTGAATTATATTTATGTAGATTTTTTTTGTAATTATAACGCTTCATATCACATGATATATATACTATGTTTTTATAATTAAGATCTAATTTGTGTAGATGATGCCAATTTTTGTATCTACAGTTCTTTTTATTATTATTTTATTATATAGGATATAAAAGATACTGTAATAAAATCCCTGTTTCCGAATAAACGGAAAAAAAAAGACTAATTAAATTTAAGAAATTTACAATTTTGGATCAGACTATAAGTAGTTAGTTTTGTTATGATTTTCGTTTAGTTTTAAGAAAAATTATTACGATGTGCAAGAAAAAGGTAATTAACCTTCAAATTTTGACCTTGACATTTACATTTTGACAGGTATTGATTTTGGCGACTTTTCAGACGATTTTCGATTCTAAAACCATGCGAGATCGATAGATCGTGTCGATTTAGCCCTTAGGCCGCAATTTCATCCATTTCTGAATCATTTTATATATCTAAATTCCATTTTTTTCTTTCCAAACTTTAACATCAAATTACGAATTCCTCGAAGGAATTTGACACCCGAAAGCGCGATTATCTAAAAGAACAAAAAATTAGCTACAAAATTACAAAATCTTAATCAAATTTAAAGTTTATTAATAATTTCGAATATTTTCAAAGTTGATGGTTATTTTCTTTAAAAAAATCAATCATTTTGGCCAACCTGTGTAATTTATAATTCCCGCCATTTTATCAACCAATCAGAGAGCCCAGATTCAAATTGAAGCGACCAAATTCGGATATCCAAGAAGCCTTTGTCCAAAAAGGGTATATAAGGCCGCGCAAATTTGACACCGGGAGAGCTCAATTTTGGCTAGAGCGAAGCGTTGTCGAATCTACGTCAATTTAACCTAAAAATTTCTAACCTAAGTTTGAACTTAGAATTTTTTTTGACAACTCAATTTACTTTTATCTAGTAAAAGTAAACAAGTGTTTCTAAATTATTTTCGAAGAAATCGAAACCATACCTGAGATTGAGTCCAATGTTCCATCCTGTTCCCGAAGGACCCGAGAACTAAATTTCCCGAGAATCCTAAACTTCTAACACCGAAGAACATCCATCCCGCAAGACCAAGGTCAACCAACCATTTTTAACTGACATATCACACCTCCGGAAACAAGTTAAGTGAACATAATTTCCTTTTATCGAACTCTTTAATTTTTATAACCCTCGCGATTAAAATAAAAAAAAAAATCTTAAAAGACCCTTATAAATTAACGCGTATAAGCTTTGTCAATTTCAACTCTTATAAAGGAGTTACCTCTTTCTTGCACAGATTTCTTTATGCTCTATTTTATATTTAGTTCGTAAATTTCCTCCATGAACTTGCGTTTAATTTTTTTTTTGTCCCTGAGATTCATGTTCTTTAATTTAACAAAAAAATGTATGTTTTGTTCGTTGTTATCCAATTAAATAATTGTTATATGTTTTCTGTGTGATTTATTTGTAAAAAATTTGGTTTATATAATTTAATTAATTCGAACAAAACAAAATAATACAGTATATACTTACGAATAGTAGAACCTAAAAAAGTTGTTACGTGAGACATCCTGTATATATATATTTTGTAGACTTGCAGATTATATTAATGAGTGCTTCGCTTGGGTCACCTTCCCATGCATTGTTAGCCACAACATCGTTATTGGGATTGGATGCATGGGGATGATGACTGGAATTTCAGTTTTAACTTTTTTACCGACTATAACTTGGATTGGAGCTTTGTTTTTTTCTTGTTATCTAGGTGAACAGGTTATGCAAGCGGTTAGTGCGTCTCTTAATTAAAGAAGATCTTAATCAACAAATATATATAATGTTTTAGAGCATTGAAGTAGCAGTTGTTGCTTATGAGCTGGATTGGTACAAAGATACCAAGCTAAGGAGGGATATTTTAATGATGATTTTAAGGGCGCAAAAGCCCATCACATTGGAATGCGGGAAATTCGGGGAATTATCGATGGTCACATTCAAAAATGTAAAATATTTGATTAATTTTGATGTAAAATTTAATTTGAATTTTTTAAGATAATGCAAGGGGCTTATGCTTATGCTACAATGCAAGCAAATCATTAAAGTTATATAATTATTGAGATGATTACAAAGATAAATAAGAGATGTATTAAATACATGTGTTATATTTATAAATATTTATAATAATAAAAGGCACTGATAACTAATAAAGGGTCTTATTTAAGTATATACAGAGCGTCTCAGTATTACACGGCACTATTTTAGAGATGTATTCTTCAGTACAAAACAAACCAAAATGTTTCAAATTAATTTATTACTGAAATATTGAAAATGAAAAATTTTGATTGTCAATGAAGCAGTCAGAGTAAATGTTCAAAATGATTCCCGTTTTGTTGAATGCAGCATTGAGCACGATGAATCCAAGCTTCTCTGGCAAGTTTTATATCATCGGGACGGCAACTAATAATTACTGCGGCTTCCAAGATGCGATTTCTGAGCTCTTCTTGGGTGCCGATAGACGTAGAGCAAACCATAGATTTCATCCAGCCCCACACAAAATAATGTAACGGTGTCCGTTTCGACCAATCCATCGGTTACAATATGCTTTGTTTAAATAATCAGTGGCAAGATGAGAAAAGTGAGAAGGGACACCGAAAGGGTCGATGAGATTGTCACCAAGAAGACCACACCAGACATTTCAGGAAAAAGTATGTTGATAACAGAGCTGTTATAAGTACAAAGGAAAAGTACTCCCAGTAACCAGTAGAAGTAACGCTATAAATTATTTTTGCTCCAAGTAATAAGTAACAAATATTTTTAAAATGAGTAATTATATACAGGTGAGTTATTTATAAACCCTGAAAACAGATAAATTCAAATATGTAAAAATATACAGGGTGTTCCATTTAAAAAAATAAAGTAGGTGGCGATTTCCAGTATAACCGGAAGTGCTAGAAATCTGAAAATATTTTAGACGAAGAGAACGTAATTGATAATAC